ACGACGCTTCTACTAAAAAAAGAACTTATTCTAGGGGACCTAAGGAACAGGAGTTAAAGCAAAAATACCGAGACCGGATTCACGGTTGATTTTTCTTGTTTGTGAAGCACATTTCTAAGTCTATAACATTCTTACTAGATGAGCTAACAGAGTCAATCAATAGTCATCTTGTAGAGCGTTTTTTACTGCATCTTTTCTTCATAGAGACAAATTTACCATCACTTGTTTCACTGTAGAAAAATTTATTATTCAAATCTGGTCAGGACTTCTGGGTCACCCTTTAATGGATGCGACAGATTTATATGCAAATGTTTTCAAAGTTGTTTTTTACAAAGTCAATCCGAACCAATGAATCGATTGTAAGAATTTGAATGTGACATAGCTAGTATTGACGAATTGTTTTGGCTTTCTAAACCGTAGTTGACTAACGATCATCACTTTTCGACGATACAACAATGCATGAATTTAAATTTTAAAGACGCTCTTATTTAACATTCGTGTTTTTTATGTTGATCTTATAGTCCTGGATCACCGCTTGCTCGCTCCTTCGAAATAATTTACATTTTTTATTACATAGGTTTCATGATTCTTTCCTAAACCAGATTTGATTTAAACTTTATTTATTTAAGTGAGTTCAACCGTATGAAATACATTATAGCTTTCACTAGAAATAAAGAAAATAGAGAAAAAAAAGAGAAGACATACAGAAAGAGAGAGAGAAAGAAGAAGAAAAAAAATATTGATATAAAAAAATAAAAACAAAAAATTAGTAAAATCTAAGCGTTTCTTTAAATTGTCTTTCGGTCTCATAGTTACCGATTTGGAATTATTTTATCAATTTGCTCCTGTCAAATAATTTCTTCAAACTTATACTTGAAATAAATATAATTTTGAAGAAAGGTAAAAGAACAAAATGTAATGAAAAACTAAGAGTAAATAAAAAAATTGTGACGCGATTAGTTTTACAATAATAATAGAATTGAAAATACACATGAAAAATTCAAAGTTTAATTTGTACTTTTAGTAAGATTATTGCTAAAGGTTACAATTCATCGATTCTATGCACAAAACAAGCGTTTTCTGATTTGTTAAAATGATGAGCGTATCAAGCTTACAAGATGATGAAACAGCTCTTTTGCGGGGACAATACGATCATGTACCTGATAATAAATCAAAAGCAATTCGTGTGTTTGTTAGTTCAACATTTACTGGTATCATAACATAATCTAGATATACCCATCTTTTCTAACCGGAAACAGGCGAAGCTTCGGGAATACAGCACTCAGTTTAAATGATTTTTCTACTATTTCCACAGATACGGTTGACGACGTGATTTGTTGGTTGGAGAAGTATTTCCAAAATTAAAAAAGTATTGTGTTGATGTCTATGGTTTGGAATTTCAGGTTATATAAATCTTTTCCAGTCTTGTGATTTTTAAGAATTTTATTTTGGATTTTTTTAAGTATTCTGATATGAGATGGGGTGTACAAGATACGGCATCAAGTAATCATTCAACAACAGATGTTTGTTTATAAAACTTGATCGTTGTTGTAACCTGTCTGTGGCAACTAATTGTGTGGTAAGAGAGTTCTGTAGCGAACTTAAAGATTTGTCGTATAATCTTTCACAAACAACATACACAAAATTCTATCTTTTTAAGTGAGTTTTCATAATCTTATCCTATATATCATCTATTTAGATATTATTAAGTCATCGATATGGTGGACGTTTACTGCCAACAATTATCGGGGACACAGTGTTTGATTCTCTGTATCATGTTATCCATCATAATCATATACAAAATGTTGACGAAAATGAACGATTGTTACTAAATAAATGGTATAAACTTGATGAAAATCCATTTAAATCGGTTTATATATTACAACCAGTAAGAAATGAGGATGAACAATATGGACAAAAACAATGGAAATATGATGAGAAAAGAATAATTTCGATGATGAGAAAAGCGGCTGACATTTGCTTGAAGAATGCTACAATAAATCAGAAAGAACGAGACGAATTTTTTATCTCAGGTAAAATAGATTTAACGATTCTGTGATAGTTATAAGATTGTAACATGTATTGTGTAAAATTCTGTTTTTTTCTAGTAACAGCTAAAGAAATATATCAGGCAATTGAAAACAATCGGAATAAAGTTGCAAATCGTATTCTCTGCTTTATCCGTGAAATTACAGATATTGATCATCACTTACATGAACATGATGCATCAAAATATGTGGATATGTGTGATGGAGAGATTGATATTGAAGCAGTGGATTATTTAAATGAATTAAAAACAACCATAAAAACAGCCTTACCGCCAGAAAATATAAAAATATGCATGGTAAGCAATGTCGAGAAACGTTGGAGACGTTCTAACAATAACCGAAGTTAAAATTATTGCCAAAGCATCTGATCGAAAGATAAAATAGGCATATTTGTTGCTCAGACTTCAAAACTCACTTTTAGGTATGGTTTCGTCGAAAAACAGATTTTTCATTGAGTACTGTACCGGTCCTATCGAAACTTTGTCCTTTCGAGCTCAAAAGTTTACCACAGATACTAGGCTCCAATCCTCGGAGGTGTTTTTCGATTTATGTCTGTACGATGGAACGTTAAGATTTATAAGAATAGTTCGCGGAGAATCAGATTTCGATTTTACTGCCTTCCTATGATGAGACGCTAGAGCTAAATCAAAAATATCTGGGCCTATGAATGTCTCTGATCAATGGTTAAAATTTCAAATCGAACGAACAAAGTTTCAATGGTGTTGGTACGGTACTCAATGCGCCCGAGTTGTGTTTTGAACCACAGGCTTCGTACGACAAGTGACTCTTTGTTCCAGCTAGCAAACGATCATAACTCTGACGGGAAACATGGCGGAGAGCATCTCATTTTGTAGAGAACTCTTTGCTCTACAAGATTAACTACTCGAAAAAAATTTGAACGCTCAAAGAAAGAGAAAATAATTTTAAAAGTTAAAAAACAGGGTGTTTTCAGCCTACAATTGCACACTTTAACAGATTCGTATCCTTACTAGCACAGATCGTCTTATAAGAAGTCTTCTCTTTTTATACCATGTATTAGGTTTAACTCAAAAACGAAACTTCTTATAAAAAGAGAAGGATATCCTTAAGCGTGGTACCCCTGCATAATAGAAGGGCATGACCTTATGTTGTGTCCCAACGGATCAAGCATTTTTAGAATGGCTTTCTATTAGATGTGACCTTTTAATCCGACCTTTCAATCAAAATTTTCTAAAAGTTTATCTGTATTAAGTCTGTAGTAAGTCGAAAAGTTTAGCCATCGACTTCTAATATGGAGTTTACAGAATTGCCTCAGAGAGATCTTCTAATCGGGGTGATCTCCTATTCTGAGAAGAGGGTACTAAAATTTTATTTTACTTTAGATTCGATGGTCAAATTTGAAAAGTCGAGAAACTTATTTGCAACAATTTAGTGAGGATTTTTATTTAATGGTGAAAAATCAGATTGATAAATGTGTTAAAACACAGCCACAACTAATGAAATTATTAGATGATTCACTTCAATATGAAATACTAGAACATGCTATTCAATGTAAATCATTAACGTCACGATTTTTTGGAAGGTTGGATATTTTGGAAAAAGTAATTAATGATTGTCGTGCTTATCATCCTGAAGAAATTCTTGGTTTTTTTTGCATCTGTTTTATATAGATAGAAGAATACATGCGATTATCCGATGAAAATCGACCATGTATTCTCCATGGACGTTCGGGATACGGCAAGTCGTCAATTATGGCTAAAGTAGCAACTGAGGTAAGAAGACTGTTTCTTTCGAGAAGGCTACAGTGTTATGTGTTGTCTGTTTTTTATATAAAGGCTACAAAATGGTACTTAAATCCATCGTCTGTATCGGTTATTATTCGATTTCTTGGTTCAACACCTGCATCTTCTGACATTTGTAAACCTTTGCTAAATATTACGCAACAAATATCTAAACTATATAACATTGACAAAAATGAAAACATAGAAATAAAAAATGGTAATGCTATTGAATTGAAAAACCAATTAGAAACGGTTTTAAAATTAATTCCAAATGAACAAAATTTAATTATATTACTGGATTCAATTGATCAATTACAAAAGACAGACTTTGATTGTCTATGGCTCCCATTAAATTATCCGAAAAATGTGAAATGCATTATATTGACTATGCCAGAAGAAAGTGGTATTAATCTATTGGGTATATTAAAAAAATTGTTGATAGAAAATTATGAACATCTCTTTGTAGAAGTAGATGAATTTGATAAAGAGAATGGATTAAATGCATTTAAATCATGGTTAAATATTGATAAACGAAAACTTACAGATAATCAAAAAATATCTGTTGAAAAAATATTTTCAAAAGAAAATTATGATGGTTCACCATTATTTTTATCTCTAATCTATGATCTTGTATCAAATTGGCATTCGTATGATACTGAAATTGATCAAGAATTTGAAAATATTCAAAATACAGAAGAAGCAATTAAATATGTATACAATCAATTGTCAATAAAACATGGTAAAATATTATTTGAAAAAGCAATATCTTACATTCAATAGTTTAATGGTATTAGTGAAAATGAACTAGAAGATGTTCTTAGTTTAGATGATCAAGTATTAGAGAGTGTTTTTGCTGAACATTATTTACCACCGTTGAATGTTTTTCGACTACCTGGTACATTATGGACAAGAATAAGAAATGATATGAATAAGTATTTAATTGAAAGAGATATACATAATCTACCATGTATATATTTGTAAGTAACGTTCAAAACAAAGAATTAGTTAGTGGAGTATAGTAGACAGGTTGTTTTTGGTTATATCATGAGTAAATGAAGGCTGTTTCTCATCTAATATAGTTCCTACTGGTTTAACCCTTTCGTGTCGTGGACCTTATATATATGGGCAAATGTTTTACCATGAAAAAGAAAACCCGTACGAAAGGATTAATAAGAAAAAACTGAAAAAAAGAAAAAGACTTTTTCCAAAACAAATTCAATGGCATAAAACTAAAAGTAGAAATTTTCCAGCAAACGTTAAATGGTTTAGATTCTCGCATCCAGCTTTGGATAGTGATTTTGAATTTTATTCAGTTTTTGATGGACTTTTCAAAACTGAAAATATTTGATTTTTCATTGGTGTTCGGTTTTAGTGCAAATATCTCATTTTATTTGTAGCTGAACTACTTACTATTATTTAGCTACTCTAGACTTTCTTAACCCTTTGGTGACGGAGCCCGTATATATACGGGCAGTACATAAAACCTTCCTTACTTCAC